CTAGGAAGCCATCTGGGGTAAAGTGCCTGATTCAAGACAAAACAAAACACCACACTACTACAAGTACATTATCTATGGGTCCACCTAAGAGGCGATGTTATGAGCTCCAATACACAATGTATTTGGACAAAACATTGGAGAACACATACAGGTTTGTACGATTATATAGAAGTTCTAATTAGCTTTTTTAAAAAGTTTATTAGTGAAAAATACAATATAACCTGGCTGTGTCCTGAGGATCACCTCTTCTCTACTTCCTCCCCCACCCTGCCACTTTGCAAATAAGATAGTTGTAGAATATTCAAAACTCAATGTATTTATCCTCCTTTCAGGCAAGCATTGGTATCATTTAAATTATATTAGGATGTAATGCCCTCCAATTGTAGGGCTTCCACAGGATCAAAGCCATTCCACACTAGGGGAAATTAAAATAATTTTAAATACTTCTTAGCACTTAACACAAAGCTCACCAAATACATATTCTTTCCTGCCTGTGTACAACACTAAACAAGACACGCAAAACACATGTGAACCTGCAAATTTTCTGAAATAATTTAACACCTCTACCTGAAACTGTTTTATCCCACTAATTTTTGAAAACGTCCAAGTACAGAAAAGCTTCACCTAAATCCATAGAAGAATTAGATTCTGTATATCTTAGTTTGATGCAAAGTGGGCTTTTTGATTTTTCAAGTTTCACTTTTTAAAATCCCTTCACTGTAAGAGAAAACGAGGGACACGTATTTGACGCTAACTCTGTCTCACTAAATCTGTCCCCAGACTCTTCTCAGCACTGAGCAAATACGCTTTGGGATTTAAGCTCTGTGCAAGCCATCAATTAATTAATCTGGACGGCAGCCCGAGGTCAGTGTCAGATCCCCTTATAGATGACGAGGCATAGGTCTGAGAAAAATGACTTTGTCCAAGGTCATGATGGAATCAGGTTGTAGACGCTATCCACTTATTTTTTAAAATCTAGGAAACACGGACTCTTTCCTTTTACGTAATAGAGACACTAACTTTCAAAAATTCATAAAAATCCACACGCCCTCCTTGATAAAGCTTATTTTTATCCCGGCAAAACAGTCCGAAAAATTTCACATATTGTAAAATAAAAGATTACCGAGTGAAACGGAATCGACAAGTTCTAAAAAGCCATTCGTTACGTGATCTTCCGCCTGGACGTGTTCAGTCTCCCATCTCAGAAAGGAAGCTATTATTTGGGGGGCGGGGAAGGAAGTCCTTTGATTTTAAGGGGTTATTGATAGAAAATATTTGTCGATAACCTGACTTTTAAATTGAATAGCTCGTTTTGGACACTTGACACCATCACGTAAATGTTAAGCAGCAACTCTGCCGAGACAGCCTGAAACAGCCTGTGCCATCGAGGCCGGCGGCGGCCCTACCCGCCTGACCGCCAACTCTCAGGGCCGTTCAAGTCGCTTCCCTGAAACCCCCTTTCCGGAAACGGACCTCTACCTCCTGGCTAGTCCTGACCCCCAGCCGTTCTGCTGCAAGTCTGGCAGGCAGGGACACGAGCGGCAGGGCGCGGAGAACGCTCTCCGCCCGCCGCCAGCCTCCGTGGGCCGAGAGTTGGTCTGAAGATGGTCCAGTTTCTACACAGCTTCCAGCAGACGTGTAGTGAAGCCACAAAGCCACTGACTAAAACTGAGAGATGCAATCCCATCGGAACCGGACAGTGACCGTCACGCACCGAAGGCTGGAACCTCAGTCTCAGTTGCACAGACTGGCTCAGACCCTGAGCAGGACGCAGGCTAAGCCGAGGTGCTCTCCACAACTGAAGGCCAGAGTCCCCCACCCGCTCTGCGCTCCGTCCTCTCATATCCAGGAAAAGAGCTAAAGGGGCTACATTCTTTATGCTTATGCGTACGCTTGAATGTTTTCATAAAAAAATTTATTTTACACCCTGTAATGGCTCTGGCAGAAGAAAGTAACTGGTCTTTACATTCAGAAAGAAAGCTTAAATGATTTAAAAAATAAAACAGATGAACAGATGGGAAAACTCTAGGCCATGGTCTAAAAAGGCAAAGTTTTAAGAGGAATGATCTACAATTAAAGATTTGAAATGTTTAAAAAGAAAAAAAAAAAAAAAAGAAAACCAGAAGGCACTAAGTCGAAGTCCACACCTTTGTTCCAAACATGTCACAATTGCAGAACAGAAGTGTCACTGCCCTCGAGGCAGCTTGTCCTCGTCAATCTGGTTCCTAAACTTGAAAGTATAAAAAAGCTAACTCATCATGGAACTCATCTAATAGTTAATGACCCCAAAAAAGAACATTTCGGAAGAATTTTTGGGGGTGCACAAAAGTAACATCTTATTTAATTTTCTCTTTAATCTCATGCTAGAACACAGCAGTTAATACTTAAGAAATGTTCGTCAGGCTGCATACAATTGTCGAGTCTAAAATAAGTTTCTCACAACTCAGATTTAAAGTCTAGTTCTAAGTCCCTCAAAGTTTAAGTACTCCGAAGTATGTGGGAGCGCAGGGCTATGGCTTTCCCAAAGCATCGCTCCGCCCACCCACTTGCCCCAAGGGACTCCCTGCTTAGCCTCTGGTGATGCCTCTTCAAGTGACCCCAATCTTACAGAAACTTCTGAAAGGAAAGTATAGACAGCCTTTCGGTTCCCGACATTCCACCTGTTTTTTTTGTTTTTGAGGCTGGCAATGATCTTCTGCACTTAAAACAGGTAACAGTAACACAATCTCCAGAGAATAACTAATTCTCTTAGAAGTGGGGGCGGGGGGGAACCCCACACCACCAGCTCAATACAAACCAACTGTGCAAAGAGGAAGGGAAGGTTTTTCTAGGTGATTCGTTTCTTAAACCTATGATGGCCTTTAGAAAGAGTACACAGTAGGCTTCGTGGAACCGAAATCCAGGCACCCAATCAGCGCTTTCATTCTGGGGCGTGAGCTCCCGTTCTCTCTCTCCATACTCAAACTTTAACGCGGTCCAAATAAGACACAAGAGGTTACAAAAGTCTACAAAAAGATGCAATTTACAGCACATAAACCAGATTTTTTAAAAATCTAGTTTACAAGGAAATTTTTTGCCTTTCTAAAAGAAAATGCTCTCATTGATGGATTTTTGTCTGCCTATATTAAAGTATCCAAAACATCCTGAACTTGGTTATTGTCCCCAAGTTAAACAAATAATTTTACTACCAATCTATGAACCAGAAATACTCTCCAAAACATCATAAAGAAAATCAAGTACCCTAGACACAAATAATGAAATCGGAAATTACTAATTTTCTCTAATTTTTCTTGTGTTTCTCAATAATAATTCCAGCCCTAGCTTTAATATAGAACACTTATCAACAGTTTCACAGGCAACTGTTTTCATTTTGCTCTTTAAAAAGGTTTAGATTGCATGTTTAAAAACAAATACTATAATCACAGGAAGGGAAATTTTTCCAGTAGGGAAGGGATGCGGATCTTTAGCTGCCTCGGTCTATTTGTATTATCACTCACATTCCGTTCTAAAAGTCTGTTAGGTTTGTTGATTAGTTCACTAAGAGTACAACTAGATGGATTCGTCCGTGGCTCCCATGTGACCAATTTACCAATGGCAATGTCGAGTTTAGCTAAACATCCTTACAAAAAGACTACAACAAACGAAGTTTGTTTTTGCTTTAAGGCTCTCTTTCAAATTGGAACTGTAGGACTCAATCCAGCCTCCTACACCAGACGAGAAAGAAAATGATTTTCTTCTGAGCAGTGCAGTCCTAAATTTGCCTTGAAAAGTAGTTACAAATAGGTATGGGGTTTCTTTTGGGGGTGATGAAAATGTTCTGACACCAACTGTGGTGATGCTTGTACAACTATGGTGAAAACACTTATAAAAAAAAACCTACTGAATTGCACAATTTAAACTAATGAACTGTATGGTATATGAATAATATGTCAATAAAGCTGTCGTTTAAAATATGTAAGTTCTCCATTCACTCCAGGATGTTTCTATTGATAAGCCTTTCCTCCAAATGTTAAGGGTATAAGGTGACCAAAGAATCCCAACTAAAGAAAAATTTCATGATAGATACCAAAGAAACAGGGAAAACAAAGGTTGAGCCAACATCAATAAAACCTTAATCTCCATAATCATGGCTGGAAAGAGAGTGAGTTCACAGCACTAACACCTCCCTTATACCAAGAAGGGATTAAGTTCCTACCTGTTCCTAAGGGTGGAACCAACAGGCTCACTCAAAGATGCTGACTGTATTATAACACTTTTAAAAAGTGTTACACTTTGCTAATAAAGACTAAGGGATCAAACTAAAGACCAGAGGAAGTTAAAGTTGAAAAAGCGTGTCTACTATGCCATCTGGGGTTTGACTTAAATCCCTGACTTCTGGACACTGCCAAAGAAGACATCTGTGGCATCGAGCTACCTGGGGCCAAATGTTAGATGTCTGAGGTCAAAACCATCAATATGTTCCAAACAAACGTGGGAGACAAAAATGTATTTACTGAACAGTCAACTATTTTTTGCCTAATAGTTACACACCTAAAAGTAATCACCTCCAAATACCACAAAGTGGCATGGAAAATATAATTTGTCCTAAAAGAGACATTTAAGTACATGAAGGAGAAAATGAGAATTCATATTCTAAAGGCAGCAAAACCAGAAGTCAGGTTAATTGAAAGTTAAAAAAAAAAAAGGCCCAGGAAACAAGCCTGATTATGCTACATACTTGACGTAATCTGAAACAAGGTTCATTTTTCTCTTTAAACTTTTAACTCAGGATTTGAGTAGTCGTCTTGATTTATTACCTGTTACCACATTTACCTTACTCTATTTCCACCAATTTCTGTGAACCTCAAGTTTTCAAAAGTAAAGCCGTTTCGGACCCTCACTGGTAACTACCGCTATGTAAATACCGTAATTAAAGAGACAAAGAACAAAAGAAGATAGAAATGCTGTCTAATTCTTCCCCTGACCGCCGAACAACAAAACGGAACTGACCCGACCCTCACCTTAATGCAGCCAATTGTATTCCAGGAACTTGGGGAGCAAAAATCACCTAGAAACGCGGGCATCAGAGCCATCGCCACGGAGCACAGTTTCTACCTCTTGCTTTTGTTGCTTTATTTCAACTACATGAAACCACTTGTTCACAGCTTCTTGAAACAAAACACTTTTTAAGACAAAGACTGTTTACATCGCCCAGGAAGCCTTTGTTCCCAAAAGACCCTTCTTCCAGAGCCCCAACTTCGGAAGGACGTCCCCTCTGATGCTGCCAACCACAGACGCCCCGGGACCCGGTCCGTCCGGCCCAGGGGGCTGCTACACAAAGGAGGCGGCGACCCCGCACACAAAGGCGCCGACGGCGCGGCTCTCGGAGCCGCTGCCTC